AGTCATAAGTGATTTTTACAACGTTGAGTTTTTTTTACATCACTGCTTCTCCTGAAAGATTGTGCTAAATTAAACCAAATCTCACAGAATATAATTTGTGCACAATTGGCTGAATGACTTTTACGAGGGAAACCTTTTTTCAAATCAATCTTAAATGAAGTTTTTCCATAACATTTAAATGGGAAATCGATGTCCTCATACTGTACCAGAAACGAATTGTCAATCTTGGTATCTAATATTATAACGCATGTTCTCTGAACTACTTCTCATTTGATAGTCTCCCTTTGCCGAATTTATTAGGCTTTAAGATTTCACACTCATCAGTGAACTAGTCACTTGTCCTGTTAACTTCAAGTCGATAATGTTGACCCTGCAGACTATCAACTAATGAATTTTGGATATGGTGCTTCAAACTTTATGGGTTCTTTTAGTAAGTGCAATCCAAAATATAATAATACTGCCAACATCAAGGGATTAGTTAGCGCATATACTCATACTCAGTAAAACAAGCTTATACAAAGAATTGTTATGTGAAATCCGCTTTTAATCAGCTTATCCAATTCATTTCTCCGAAACACTATTTGACTATCAGTATGCGATGACCAAGTAATGTATGATTTGAAATTTCCTTCTCTTTTGTTCACAGTGAACTGGTTGTGCTATACAGAAAGTCCTAGTCGATTCATGTGACACAGTGAAATCTATTTGACTTCTTTTTTTACGGAATAGTGTTATTGTTGTTTCTTACAATTTTCCACTTACTACCCTACAGTGATAAATTTATTCATTTACAAATATTGTTGTGTTCTAAAAAAATAATAAAATCACATAATGTAAGATTTTAAACTAGAGAAACAGGATCATGTATTTGGCTTAATCAAGCAATTTTACTGGGAAAATATTACCCCAATCAAAATTAGTTATGATTTAGTTGCCTAAAGAATATTGTCTTAAATGAATTAGGCGTATTTCTATTTTTATATAACACATTGCTGACTGATCTTAAATCAACAGATATTTAAAATCAGAAAGCGCTGGTCAAATACTTGTCCAAGAACTCCCTTAGTGCAGTATCGATCAGAGTGATTCTAGGACTCGTCACAGTGACTTAACTTTCAGACACTTGGGCTGACATTCAATAATTAACATTTATAAAATTCATCATTTCTAAATGTTTCTCAACTTTCTTCTAATGTCACTAATGTATGCACATTTCTCATCAGACATGGTTGAGATACACTGATCACGTGTTGGTTTCGAACACCAGAGGTTAGCTATCGAAACTAGTCACTGGTTTCCATGTATTTACGACTAGGCTTATCGATAGTCAAGTTAAGCCGTGCTGATCATATCTGTCTTCAGAGGTAGAGTCAAATTATACAAAGTTCACAGGCATTTAAATATATACATGTCAATCATTCTTGAAGCACTTGTATTAATAATAATTTAATGATCAAAACATTTATGAAACAATAGTGTTTTTTGCTAACAAATTAATTATTACTTAAAAGTCATTGCATGAATCTTTGGTCAAGTGAAAATTTGATTATGCTCTCAGTAGGTTTATGCTTTTCTCAACAGTTACAAAATAATAGTTAAATTAATTTGTATTCAATTTTAGAACCAACTCACTGTGTGTTGTTTAATCCTAACTGCCTCAAAATTGGTCTTCGCGTTGTTCAAAATATCAAAATTTAGGCATACAAAAACGTGTGTATAGTTAGAGATGAGATTGCTGGTCAACTAGTTAATTGTTTCGCCTGTGAGCAACGCTGTTATTAGGAAACGGGTGCTAGGTAAGAATGGCAGATCAATAGATGAAGTAATGAAACTTCATCAGTTGAGGTGGTTGGAACATGTGTTGCGTATGCCTAACCACCGACTGCCACGAAGAGCTTTATTTTGTAGTGTAGGAGTAGGTTTGAAGAAAGTTAGGGGCGGCCAAACCAAAACATGACATAAATCCATGAAGTCACTGACCAGTGGACTTAGCCATGTCGGTAGTTGTCGACGACCTGGTTGGGGTCCGCGAGATGATAGTAATCGATGGTTAGAGACCTCGAATGACATGGCTGAAAACCGTTTGCAATGGCGCCGGTGCATTTATTCTTTGTGTTCTCTCAAATCCGGATCTTCTGGATTCTTCAACCTCTCTAGTTTTGACTTTCTAAACCTATCTCACTGAATTATACTTCATGAATAATATCTTCTAATCCTAACCTCTGCGATTACTTCTAATACCTTTACCTTTATTTGTGTATTGAAAACTAATGGAATGATTTCCATCTAAATGTTATCAGGTTTGCCATAGTTGGATTTAATTACTTTGTGATTATTAGACTGAATTACAATAAAGCGATTTATCGGAAAGAACAGTACCTGAATGAAATCCAAGTCTTTCATGGTTCTGTCTCATTAACTTGATACTACATATCTTACTTTCATAAAAATATTGATGATCGATTCAGTACACTTGATGCTATTACGGGTTCACCTTAGACGATAAACGCGAACGAGACAATGAACCGGCATCCAGGTGGACTACCTTGATCCGAAAAGTCTAAAGAGAATTCTTGATAAGCGTAGAAAGTATATTCTACAAACACTCAGCAAACACAATACAATCAAGCACACAAATCTCGTCTATTTATTCATCATAGCAACGTCCTTGGGACAGTCACAAAAGTAGCACACTAAAATACACAGCAGCCAATCACAGCCAAGGATTTCGCTGGCGGGAAATGAAATCTCAAGGTCAACTGATCAGCCCATGCTGGCAAATGTGAAATCCAATTGAGTTCTGGGGATCTAACATCTGCAACACAAATTGTAGAAAATTAGTCTCAAACAAGTGGTTATGCTTGTAAATAAAATTATTTAGTAAAACAAAGTGACAACCTGTTCAATTATATAATAATTAGTGAATGGATAGTAAGAAAAATTCTTCTTAATGAGTATTTAGTATAAAACAGCGAATTTTGAAATTTATATAAAACAACTGTTGAATTTCGCTGTTTGAAAACCACTTTGTATAGTGTCAACGGTATACTTGATAAAACTTGAACTAATAACTGTGATGGTGTTTGGTTCTCTGAGCTGAAGAACATCAGAAGAACAATGAAAGCTCCACAACCAAAATATTCAGCTCAGAGAACCAAACACCACCACAATCATCGACCTGAGCTACCAATCTTCTCCACCATCTCAGAACTAATAACCGTTAATTCTGATGAAATACCTATTTTAAGTGATCTCTTTCTCAAATAAACAAAAGCAATTATGACTCTTAGGAAAAAATAATTATTAAAGATGGTGGAGAAAATTTGTAGCTCAGGTGGATGATTGTGGTGGTGTTTCGTTCTCTGAGCTGGTTGTTTTGGTTGTGGAGCTTTCATTGTTCTTCTGAACAACATCATCAGCATGAACTTCAGATAGAAGTGAAGCATTAGAATCTCTCCATGTTTGACCTGTAGCTTGTTCTGCTAACCTCGATCTTGATTGGTTGTTGTTGACCTTTGACCTGTCATTGCAACTATGTTTTGATTGCCTCCCTCTTTTGATCTGTTTCTTGATCCAGTGTCACCTATGATTCTCCTGATTTGTTGATAAATTGGGTCAATGTCGATGTGTTTGTTGATTGCTATATGACCTGAGTGCCAAGCTTCTAAAAATTCTCTAGTGTTCTTTGTCCTCCCCCTACCCAGTATTTCCACGTTATTCCAATCAAATATGTGTCCATACCGACAACTATGGACACACATTTGATATTTTGTCCATGTTTAAATTTAAGGTTCATTGTAGGTTTTGATAAATATTAGATATTCAAAATCATTTTAATGTATGTATTGTATCATGTTGCATAGAGTATAGTTAACCAACTTTAAGCTTAATTGCATATGAGACTGTAACATAATTGTTTACGAAGTGAGTAAAATTGACTGCGAAGAATAAGTTTTTCAAAAAGCAAGCATTATGCAATGCCTCTATGCAGTGCGTCGTTTCGAATTTAACTTTAGACTGAATAAGGGAAAGAAAGTTTGACAGATATATGACTCTTAAATTTTTTAAATTTTTTTTCTAGTCAGTAGAAATATTTTCCTTTTGAAAAGAAATTTCATACTGTACACAGTGAATCATAATAACGTAATATTATTTGATTGTTGCTGCCAGACTTTGTTATAGTATTACTTACTTACTTACGCCTGTTACACCCAATGGAGCATAGGCCGCCGACTAGTTTTCTCCAACCAAATATTTCCTGGGCTTCCTTTTCTAGTTCTGTCCAATTCTTGTTCATTGCTCTCATATCTTTCTCTATTTCTCGGACAATCATCGTTAATTTGCAATATATCAAACAATCATATCGAACTGGACTGTTCCTGTTGCAAAACATCAATCTATTGTCACTATTCATGCGTTTCATACAAATTCCATTGTGTTCAAACTCTTCTTTTCTTGATCGTACCCCATCTTCTGCTGCCAGACATTAAGGTGACACTCACGTCATATACTACTTATAAGTAGCTCGCACCACCGTAGAACTGTTTTACCAAATATACCATATCACACAACCATATTATCAACACAAGGAACTAATGTTTCCTATGTATCGACAACTCCAACTTTTCATCATCATCAACACCACCATCTAGTTAGCAGTGTTTCTACAAATTATCCACATGATCTAATAAAATAACATGAATGGAATGGTCAAACTAGTTCTTCATTCTTTTCACAACCACATCCACCATCGACGAAACGAACAAATGTGTTTGATTGACAATCAGTTAATCATTCGAAACAATCAAATCATCATCCTCTACTGTGTGAATGTTGTTTTCCAAATGGAAGTATCGCTGTTCCTGTTTGAAATGAAATGTGAATGGATCATCATTATACTCGAATGATTGAACACGTTTGACAGATACTACAAACGGAAATGGATTATTTATTCCTAATCATATCACTGTATCACAGTTTCCTCATATTCACCCTATCAAATGCAATATATTTGTGCAGGTGGACATTCTGATAAGTTAACATGGACAATCGAATGGAAACAGCAATCGAAACTGCATCAAAAATCGATCTATACATATTATAATGTAGACTGCATGTATCAACGTATTCCTTCAGTATTCACTAGTCTAAATGAACAACGACCTCGCGTAAATACTGAACAGTCAAATTCTGATGATATTGAAAATGATGAGACTTGCAATATAGATAAATGAGGAAGGTATGAACCATGATTTACATAATTATTCATTTAGAAATAGTTCGGCCATTGATTGTCTATCATAACATGGCACTAATAATTCAACAAATCAATTGGAAGCTAGTTTTACACTACACTCAAACACATTACCTTCATGTCTTACACCTTTAGTGGTTCGTTTCCAATCTGAAGAATCTGGTTTTTCATACAATTAGCACTGTAAAAATTACAAACCATGTGAATTGATATATTTACTGTTAAATACGAAGTGCACACTGAAGTCAGTCCTCTGATGATATAATCGAATTGCACTCGTTTCTCTGTAGACCTCGACCATGCAACTCACTAGATGAGAGAAACATATGACCAAGTTTACACCAGTCATCACTCATCAAGATGCATTAGAAAATGTGTTCAGAAATCTCACCGACTACAGTAATTATGATGTTGTTCGCACCAGTCAGAAACATTTATTTGAAACAAGATTTCTGAACAATATCACACAAAGATACTTTCATAATTGTTACTGAGATGAACCAACCAACTGATATTTCATACTGTTACAAGTGTACTTATGTTAGTACTACTCATAGGCTTTCTGTCACTAAATGTATCATCATTACAAACTGAATAATATTTGTATAGTGAATTTCCTTCTCAAAATATTTGAAATAAAACACATTTGCATTAAACTAGCCTTATCGTTGCCTGTTTGTAAAAATCACTTGTAATGATAACAAATAGCCAAAAAATCGGTAGGTCTCAGTCGATACCCTCATAGTTTATAATCAATGTCTTTTTCCATTTTCACTTCAATAACGTGAATCAAAATATACTCTATAAACAATCGTCCTCATCGTGATAGCTATGAGTTAAATGTCTTCAGTTGAATAAAATTATCCACATATGAAAAACCAATGATGCATAAACTAACCCACCAAAAAACGCTAACCAGAAAAAATAATACTGCTAGTCGAAGTGAAGTTGTTGTTTAGTAGTGAGTAGACAGACAAAAAACATTGATTGAAAACTTCTTCTTCAATAATCAATTCATTTACTAATGTTGGTGGTGTAAGAAGTTACTACTAGAATAAATAAACTTAAATTACTGCTATTGTGGTGTACGCTATTATGTTCACATGAGTATTATATTGTATCAAATGGAAATCAAGCGTCTGACAGCAAGACATCGAGAAGGAAAGAATGAAACAGAAGGCGATTTGTATGTAACGTAAAAAGGAACTGACGTCTGAACAGTTTAAATGAATGAACACTGAAATCTGAAACAAATACGCTTAGTTTGCAAATGAAGTTTCACAGGAAGGTGTTGTAAATATGCCTAACAACGATATTATTCGCTTAAACATATTGTTGACGTCCTCACCTGGGTTTTGGTGCACAACATTTGGCTTTGCTACCAGGATGAAGATACCGTGGGCGAAGGAGTTCGACGATGGAGATGTGATGGCGTTCTTGAAGGAGATCGAGGCCGTGGCGGAATAGGAGAAGACGGTGGCTTTGGGATTGTTGCTCCGTGGCCGAGCGAATGCTTTGTACGACAGCCTGGATGGCGAGGTGACGACATGAACGGCGGTCACGGATCGGCTTGTCACGGAGTTAAACAAATAAGTGGATAGACCGAAAGAACTTCGGAAGTTCAGCTCGGTGAAGTGGTCGGCGGATAGAGATTCACTGCTACTGGCAGTCATCGTTATTGAGGTGTGAGGAACAAATACATTCAGATGTACATTTCCCATGCTTCTCAATATTTCAGACAAATTTAATTACATACGGTATTATAATTGAAGACAACAAGTGATTTGGTGAAAAGCACACAAAGCAACAACTTTTATTCAAATAATTACTAATGAAATCTAATACAAAGTGCATACATGCTATAAATAAATTCATCAGTCAAATTACGAGACATTCCTCATTACTGTTCACTGCACAACAATATCAGTGCTCGTTCAATTAAACAAGTACATCCAGTCAGCCGATGACCATCGTCTCCATGATTAAAGGTGTGTATGGATGAAACATTGTGTGTTATGGCGGAAACACATTCCCCTTTCCTTACAATAGTACAACGTCCGCTGTAGTTATTTTCACTGCATACAAATGAAAAAGTGAAGAAAGAACAAATAAAATTTAATGAATCTCAAGTTCAACAGTGTTATCATAACTAAACGAACAATGACAAGGAATAAGATATCGAGAGCATACTAACTTCATCAGCGTCACTAAATCAACTTACTATTCAAAGTCCAAAAGCGAGCGAGTGAGGCGTCAAGTAATTCATCTTATAAGTGTCATGTAAATAATTGCTTCAATCAATGCAACTTACGAATATAATAGCCATTTTTCTGGACTGTGCTCATGTTCACTACCAGGTGCACACGCCGATTTGAATGTGCTGATTAGACAGGGAAATAAATTCTTATTGCTTTGACAAATATCAATCCAATGTTTACTATCATGGTCTCCATCGTATAATCTTAAACAACCTGTTCGTTTTGAGGACGCATGCCGTGCATGTAAGGTGATTGCCGATGAACACATGAGTACGACAATAAATAGAGTTGCATAAATCGACATGGTCGTCTATCAGTTTGTGAAAATAATCTCAGTAGGCCAATTTATATTTTCCTCTTGAAAGACAATTAAGGTCATTTCAAGTAATCCCACACGACCTGTGACCGAAAATAATAACAAATCAATTTGCTATAGCTTATCCTTACTTTATTCCTATTATAGAGACAGACTTTCATGTTGTTAATTTCTTCGATATTGATTTCAGCTTATCATGGTAGAATATTTGGTGTAAATTCTAGTTGATATTTGTATATATGTCAATTGTCAGGTCATTTTTGTTCATGTTTCTTGTTGTGTATGAAATTGTTAATGGTTTAAGTAGAGTTTTATAAATATTCCTTATTATGCGAGTTGTTATATGTTGATTGGTGTGCATTGTTCACATGTTTCAATAGGAACCGTTGGTTTGTGTTTGTCATTGAAGATGGCTGTTGCTAGATTTGTTCGACATGGTTTGCAAATGAGCATAATTGTACTGGCACTTCGTTGAAAGTATTTGATTGATAAATAGTCTTTTTAGTTGTTTATATGTTGAGTAATGTGTGAAAGGTTTTATATTTAGGCCAATCAATTGTTTGACTGCATTAGGATTTTTGATGTCGGGGATGTTATTCAGTTTCACGGTTGATAGTAGTGGCTAGATCAATGGGAAATCAGTATGGTTGGTATCTATTTGGTTTGAGTTTATTAAGATGGTTAAGATAGTTTCAATCAATCCGGTTGATTTGCCTACTTGAATCTCTTTGAGGTATTTATCATGTGTGGCTTTTATTTTGAGTTTGTTGTTATGGTTTTACAGATTATTACTGGAGTAATTTTGTCTTGTTGTTTACAGATTTTCTTATAAATTTGAGATAGTGATGTTGTGGATGGTTGTTAGATTGTTGAATTGGTTTAAACGCTATTTGCATATTTGAGGCGTAAGAGTGATCTTTCTTCTCTATATGTCAATATTGCTCGGAGATTGTGTTAGTTTAGTTTAAGGATTAATGAAGTCGTTGTGTGTTTTACTACATTTATATCTATGATGGCTTTATTGGTTATCGAAGTGTCATTATGATTATGATAATTGATGGTAGTTGAGGTGTTTGTAAGTCGAGGATGTTTACGTGTATTAGTAGTTTTTGAGTATTGTTTATGTTTTGTGTAAATTATAGCACTGGTTTTGTTCTGTTATAATACTGTTGGTTATTGTAGTACAGGATGTTGTTTTGTTAAAGATTTGTTTATTGTAGACTCGCATTCTTTGTTGATGAGGATTTAAATCGTGTTGTTGTAATATGTGATACAATTGCTTGTTAGTGTATCAAACTTTCATTTGCTGGTGAGTGTGTGGTTAGTGCTCTGACTCTTTAAAGAACAATGAAAGCAGTAGTATTGTATGAGCTTTCAATAATTTGTGCTTTGTTTTTATTGATACAGAATAGTTTGTATCCGAAGTGATATTTAACTAGATGGTATTCAGCGTGTTAAATACTGCTGGGAAGGGTTCCTCCATTGTTATGTATACTATTTTCGGGTGTTGATGTTTTCGTATGTATAATTTGTTTATCTGAATTTGCCTTAGGTGATGCAGAAAAGTGTTGAATAGACTGAATTTTGTGTAAATTTGTTTAACATGTATACTGCATGATTCATAGATGAAATATCTATTTCTTGTCAGTGCACTAAATTCATTGATAAACGAATCCACTGATGAAAGTTCACTATTTCTCTAGACAATGCTGTTATACTCATTTGATTATGTATGACTTTTGCTGACCACTGTCTCACCCGATAATTATGCTTTTAAAAACGTAAATCCTGATCACTAGTTAGTTGAAATAATCATTGTTAGCTCAACTATTGTTTGTTGTTGAAAACTGTGTAGAGGTTCGTCATGGAAAAGCAGGACGGCCTAAATTCTACTACTGAAATTCTAGTATCCCTTGTCAAATTCTCCCGAGACACAGTAACATCGTTCAATATACTACCGAATGAACGTTGAACAGAAATTTCGCATGAACATGTAGAGAATGAGGAGTCATGTTTTGTGGTTTCGATTCCATGTTCAACTGTATTGCTGGTGAATTTATTTGAAGTCAATAAATTCCCAGAAACACATACACTTGCATTTAGTTTTGTTAGTGAAAAGTCCAACTTGAATTTCACGTCAGCCTACTCACATCATTGTGAGGAATGTTGAAATGCAAATGTGAAAATTACAAGTTCAGAAGTAATAATAAGGTGTAAACTGTATTTTAATGCCAGTTGGTGAAGACACAAGTGAAATGATAGGTTTATTATATGTCTCAGGTTCAGTTAAATACTTAGCATAAACAGAGAGTGATGGATAGTAATATCTATATATAAATAACAAATGCTGGAAAATGATTGACTGTCACATCAACTACTGTATAATAATAAGTAGCTTGATGCACT